CTTCAAAAATTGGGTGCTTGAGGCTGTGCAGGGGTCATGAGCTGAATCATGTCAAACCCAGGCCTGAAAATCAGGCTGAGAGGGGATTTGGGCGCAGGAAGAAAGGCATGTGTACCACTGGAAGGAGCGGACGGATTACAGCCACGTGGGAACGGGGGCCTGGGGCAAACACACTTTCTGATTTTTATGAGAAAAGCAAAAAATCTAGGTTTTTAGCTGAAACCCTAAGATTTTGGAAATTAATTCAAAAAATTTGAAACCCTGGATAGGTCAAACAGGACACATCAATGGGCCACACTAGGTATGGTCCCGGTGAGCAGAGGATTGACTTCTGGAGACTTAGAGTGAGCAGAGGACGGGAAGGTAGGGCAGGGTTCCAGATCCTACAGCTTCTTGGGAAGTGTGGCTCTGAGCAAGTTGGCCTCAGGCCCACTCTACCCCTCTGCCAGGCACCCAGAGACACAGCTCAGGGCCGACCACTGAACTGGCCATGACACGCCTGCTGACACAAGCAGACCCCACCACCACCAATGGCCTCTGTGGAGTTACTGACCAGTGTTGGGGGTTCCAGAAACTCCCTCTCCAGACATCAGATGCCAGCCTCCCCCAAGTGCTTTGCAGACAGCTGAGGCCATGACTGGAAAAAGGGCCTGTGAGTCGGTCTGTGCTCAGCTTTGGAAAGAAGTGTCCATTTGGACCCCACACCCCTACCTGGGGTCTTAGGTCTCCCATCTCTAAAATGGGAAGAGAAATTCTAGCCCTACTACAATGTGTGGTTGACCAAACGTTCACTGGTTTCCAAGGGGAAAAAAAAGACAACACAATGAGGTGGGGAGTTTTTGTTTGTTTTCTTTTTTAACTAATGCTAAATTATGTCTTTCCTTCTTTTGGTTTCTTTGAACAGTAAAGGACTGCAATTTTCTAATATTTTTTCTTTTTTTATATCCTTATTTAGCAAACTTAAAAGTTGATGATGCTGTGTTGCTTTCCCAGACTTTTATTTGAAATGTGACTGTTTTGTAAAACTCCAGAGTCAAGAACTCACAGGCGGGAAGATGTCACAAATTAACAGGAAAGGATGAGAAATCTTCACTCCCCTCCTTCCTGCCTCTTGATCGCTCATTCACTCTCCTCCATTCATTAACCACCCACTAAGTGCCACGACCTAAGGAAGCAGCTATCTAAGAAGTCCCTGCCTGCAGCGGCTTCACAGACCAGGAGGAAGGCGACCCACAGAGCCAGGATCCTCATGACCATGGCTGACTGCCCCTCTGCCTGAGCACCAGCTAAGGTGGTTCCAAAAAGCAAGGCCTTGTTGGGAAAGAGAAAAGTAGCAAAATTCAGCTTGGATAAACTAACCCAGAATTTTGCCATCGGAAATATCTAGAAAATGGTTATTTTAAAAGCGCAGGGGGATGCCAGGGCTTGGGGTGGGGGTGAGGAGTGATGCTTTCGGTGCTTAGGGCCCCTGAAGGTCTTGGTTCTCCTGCTCAGAAGCCCGGGGGTCCTGGGCTGCCCCCTCCAGTGCCGGTCCTTGGACCCTGGCAGTTCCTCCGAGGTTGTTGTATTTTAGGGCTTCTTCTAAGCCTCGAATGCTCCTCTCTCCCTACCTCTCTCCCTGATATGGAGGCTGGGGAAGGGCTCTCTAAAGGGTCTGACCAGATGTGACACCAAAATGAACCCCACTAGGAGCAGGGCAGGGCCACCATAAGCTTGGAACCAAGCCTTGGTTTGAAGTACAGCAAAATGAGATAGCTGGTATTCGCAACAAGCCCTGTTCCCCAAAGCTTGCCTTGACCAAGGGCCCCCAGGCAAAGCAGTACGATGGGAGGAGAAGTTTTCAAGAAAGCCACTCATGTCTCCCTCATTTCAGACCCTGGTCCTGAGCCAGGGGAGGGAAGCGAGTGTGTGCTCCACGCACCAGGGGCCACTGTAGACCCACCCTAGTTGGAGGACCTTGGGGTCTCACTAAATGTGGCTGTCTTTCGCCACCTGTAATTTTACAATAAGGGAGGAGAGGTGGGTTATCCAGGGGCAGACGGCAGCTAGAAAAAGGTGACAGGGCAGCTAGAAAAAGAACTCAGCCCCAAAACAAAGGGCTCTTACTAAATTCTCCAGCCTCATCCACTGCTACGGCATGGCAACTTGCTCTAACATCCATGAAGGTTTTGGGGGTTCTTGGTGGGGCAGGGGGCAGGTGGAGCTCTCTCTGCCTCTCCTACCACCTTAATGCACATCCTCCTCGGGGCAGGGCCACTGGGATTCCACCGGGCGTGCACCAAGGCACAGGCAATGGGACTCGCTGGCTGTGGTCTGTGGGCCCGACCACAGCACCATTTCCTTGGAGGTGTGGAGCTTGTGAAAAGCACTGATTCCTGCACCTCACCCCTGACCCACCCTAGCTCATCTCCAGGGGTGGGCCTGATAGCTGCATTTCACATGCTCCCTGGGGGATTCTTATGGTCACTGAAGCTAGGTATTTCCCTCAAATGGGGCCCTCTGAGGTCATCTGGGGAAAATGCAAGGCTCTAGGGACTTAGCTGGGCTGCCTACGAAGTCACCTGGGGGCCTGAAACATCTTGATGCCTGGGCCACACCCTAGACCTGTCACTAAGCATCATCAGAGGTGGAACCCCCACACCAGTATTCTGTGAAATCTCCCCAGGTGATCCAAAGCACTCGGGGGATGAGAATTACTGGTGTGAGCATCCCCTCTGCCTCCCCGACCCACCGCCAGCAGGCTGGCAATGCCAAAGTCATGTCTAGAGGGCCTCATGTCTAGGTAGGGATCTGTGCCAGGCTCATGGGCTAAATGTACCAGGATTCTTCTAGTCTGTGGGAGACACTGGAGAGAAGCGGAATCCCATCGGCTGGTCAATTGGAGACGGGAGTCTCCGCCAGGCTCTGCCATTTCCTCCCCGGGGTCACCGTCTGCTACTGGCAAACTGGTCTCACTCATTCCCCTTCTCATGCTGGAGGCGGATGCCAGGTACAGAAAGCCTTTTGCAAGGAAATACACAAATCAGGAAAGTCATTTGGGGGTGTGGGCCCCTGAGGAGAGAGGTGGGGTACAAAGGACTGCTGGTTTGGGAGCGGATGAGACTGAACACCAGATCAGAGCCCCACATAAAGATCATGAATGTAGCAAGTGATCAAACTTTTAATGACGGGAAGAGTGTCCCAAGCACAGCTTTTAGAAGTTAATAAAGCATGTGGTTGAAACATCTGTCTTCGCTCTGTAAAACGCAGCCCTGCACACATCTGGAGAAGGGGTGCACATGGGGGGCTGGGTGCAGCTGGTCTGGGGAGGCCAAGGCAGGGGCCAGGAAGGTGGGTGCTGTGGTGTGACTGGATGAGGGGCAAGGCTGCCTTGGGGCCTTTCAGCTATGCAGTGACCAGGTGTCTGCTATGTGACAGGTAGTACCATCTTTAACGAGGAGGTGGGGGTGCTGGGTGGAGGGTGTGCACAGCCTGCTGGCACTGAGCACCTCTGAGGGCCCCCTTTCATTCCCGAGAGCACTGACAGGCCTCACAGAAGCCAGGTTATTACTGCTGGCATCTGACAGACACACCAAGGAGCGGGCAGCCTTCTCCTCCTGCCACACTACTGGGCTGCCTTCCCTCTAGCCCAGTAATGATTTGAGATCTAAACACTGAGAAAACAGGGTTGGGTGAGTGAAAGAAACTGCTCCTAGCTGTTTCCTTTGCCAAAAAGTGTAATTAGCATGGCTGGATGCTAAGTGCAAGAGTCCCCCAGGCTCCTGACCCCCCGGGCACTCCTAGGAGATGACAGCAGGCTGATACCCGGGATCTTCACCTGGCCGTCTGCCTTAAACACACCCAGTCTTCGGTACACAGTGACAGATCAGCAGAAATCGGCATCCTCTTGCCTCGTGTCTCCCCAGGAGAACCCCCATGCTCAGAGCTCAGGGGCCCGGGGCCATGGTAACTTCTCCTCTAGAATGGCCTTCAGAAGATTTGCAGACAGGACCAAACTTCTCACCCACACCAGCCTGCAGGAAAATGTGCTCAAAGCCTCACCAGCAAGCACGATTTCCCCTTTAGTTTTCCCTCCTTCCTTCCTTCGAACCTTCTTTCCTCTCTTTCTTCTTGCTTCCATTCTTCATTATTTAGTATAACCTATTTATTTATTTATTTATTTAAGACAGAGTCTCACTCTGTCGCCCAGGCTGGAGTGCAGTGGTGCAATCCTGGCTCACTGCAACTTCTGCCTCCCAGGTTCAAGTGGTTCTTGTGCCTCGGCCTCCCAAGTAGCTGGGATTACAGGCACACACCACCACACCCAGCTAATTTTTTGTATTTTTAGTAGAGACGGGGGGTTTTACCATATTGCCCAGGCTGGTCTCGAACTCCTGACCTCAGGTGATCCACCCACCTTGGTCTCTCAGAGTGCTGGGATTACAGGCATGAGGCACCACACGCAGCCAGTTTAACCTCTTTTAGAGGTCATGTACGATTGCCTCAAAATTGAAATCACACTTGCTCTTGAACTCCACGGTTCCACATGGACACTTTCTGTCTCCTGTACTCTTGCCCCTCGGCACCCGGACAGCCATGTGCAAGAACTCTCAGCACTGTCTGCCAGAGCGCCTGGGATGACAGATGACCCTTACGACCACCAAGAGGGGATTGGGCAAGCTGGTGACAGCACCTCTAGTCACAGAAGGCTGAGCAGCTGTTAGAAGGGGGCAGAGCTCTATGACCTAGGGAGGGAGATCTCCAAATATATTCAGTTACTGAAAAAAACGGCATAAGTATGAACACTATGCTCCTTGTGTGAAAATAAGAGGGTGGGGTGGGAAGAGGATTAAGCAGTAACTGCAGGGGTTTTTTTATCCTCCCCCTTAAAAATAGATCTGAAATAAATATTGGAAGATGTCAGCATTTGTAAATTCCGGGAGGTGAGTTCACAGTTACTGTTACACAATTATCTGTTTCAAACTTTGTGTTTAAAATATTTTAAAAATTAACAAAATGCATATGGGAGATATATAAATGTATTTATTCTGGTAAAGAACAGCTAACACCCTCATAGTTCTCACACAGGCCAGGCACTGTCGTGAGCCCCACCTTTATAAAGGAGAAACTGAGGCACAGTATTTCACTTGAAGCACAGAGCTACAAAGAGGGAGACAGCATTTGAACCCAGCAAGCTGGCGCCAAAGTCTGTGCTCACAACCCCCACACTACACTGAGGCCCTAGACCACACCCAGAAAGCTGGCATCAGGGGTGCTGGTGGGCCTGGGATGGAGGAAATTTTACTTTTGACTGTACACCTGTGTACTATTTGAATCTTTTACATGTGCACATTACTTTTTTTAAAATAATGTTTTTAAAGTTGGGCAAGTCCCAGTTACCAAGAAGTAACAGAATCCTGACAGGTGCGGAACTTAGGGAGGCAAAAGAACTGTTCTAAAACCAGTCGTCCCAACTCCCAGCTGGCCTCCAGGGTTGCAGCAATTCAGAGTCTGGAACACCATTACTTCCTGTCTGCTCTGCACTCCTTCCCTCCTGTCTTCCAGTACAGACTCCACCCTCTTGTGGCAGGTTGGCCACGTGACCCCAGCAGTCACATGATTGGATCAGCTATGGGTACCAGATCTAAGCCCAGACAATCAGAATCCTGCCCCGGACTTTACACTAATGGAAGCTCCTTTTCCTATGGTTAGGGGACCCAGAATGCCAGCAGCCAGGGCTCCCTGACCAAGCATGTAATTGGGCACAGGTATCAATCCAGGGGACAAGAGGGAGGTACAAGAACCAGTCTCAGCTGCATTCACATCCTGGGCCCTGTCATCTCAAAGCCAGCTCCCTCCCTGCCTTCCAACTTGGTCTCGTTCACGTTGGACTGAGCTGAGTTCTCACTGAACAGAAACCCACAACCCAAAACAAGGGAAGCACGTGGCCGTGATTAAGCCCTGCACCAATGGCAAGTGGGAGACCAGAATCCAGCTCTGCCCCCTGTGCGGTCTCAAGGGAGTTACAAACTTCTAAGCCTCAGCTCCCTGAGCTGCCACCAAGCTGCTTCATGGGGCTGTCCTAAGGATTAATGTATTAATCCAATCCCACGCACATCAGTCATTAATAAAATTAATAATATGGTGACAACTAAGCCACTGCCTTTGGAAGTAACTCCTTACTAACTACATTAAACCTAAACTCGAAGCCCTGGAAAAGAGGATCCCAGCTGCGAGACAAAACAGCAGAAAGAAAGGCAGCTGGAGTCGCTTCTCTCTTTTGTGTCCCTCTAGATTCACTCTCCGCTCTCCTCTCTGACCTGGGAACATGCCCATGTGAGCCATATCAACAAGCTCCCTTGGCCCAGCGGCTTCTAGCAGCCTCAGCGAATGGATTGAGAGGGGGCAGGAAAGCAGCTCAGAATGTTAATTTCCCTGGAGAGTCCCCATGACTGGCTGCATCCTTTGAGCAAAGGTCCCAGCTCTTAGGTGCCCCTCTCACTCCTCCAGCATTCCTGTCTGCTAAAGATAACGCCTTCCCCACTCAGGCCTGGGGTGGGGGTAGCACCCCACGCTGCTGGCTCCAGGGTTCTGCCCTCTCATGGGAGGCTTAGCCACACTTTGTAAATATTGCCTTTATTAAAAACTCTGCTCAAATTATCCAATTTGAGTGTGTGATCTGCTTTTCTCTGAGACCCTGGCTAGCTGACTGGTTCTCAGGTTTCTCCAGGCTGTGGCCAGACAAAATCCTTCTCTGCAGAGGACGCTGCTCCAGGGTCCCAAATGGCCACAGACCCCCTTTCCCTCCAAGCTTCTGTACCCCAGCAGTTCTCTCCAAAATCCGTCAGACCCGGAAACCCGAGAATGGACCTCTGATGAAAGCATCTGAGAGCCCTCCAGCCCCAAAAGGAGACAAGCAGGGTTACATCTGGGTTCCAGAAGTGTCCAGAGAAGCAAACCACTGATTTCTACACACCAGAAAAGATACCTGAGAGTGTATATTTATAGAAAGATACATAGAAATGGGCAGATGGCGTCTATCTATAGATACAGAAAGCTCTGTTAGAGAACCGTGTAGGTACATATACATCTGCCACATCCTCCACCACAACCAACAGCACACAATTGCCCGGATCTTGGAAAATCACACTTGTTTAAGCAGTTCGTTTCCTCCCTAGCAGTTTCCAAAATGAGAAGGATGGTCTCAGGGATAGTCCTTAAATATGTGCATGTGTACTGCTCTAAAGAAGAGGAGGAGGAGGAGAAGGAGTGGATATTCATGTTGTGCATGGCAGAGGAGATGGGACTGCTTTGGGGGCAAGGGCTTGATCCCACTGGAAAAGCGTGAAAGACAGCTCCAGAAAAGACAGCTAAGGTTTCTAGGTTGGGACATAAAAACACAACAGCAAGAAGTTCGCATTCTGCAGTCCACTGAAATCCCTTGTAGCACATTACAATCAGTTAAGGGCAAAATAAAATCAGGATAATACTAAGAGGTAGCAGCTGTTTATCTTCTCGGAGATTTCGAGGGTCTCTGGAAGCCGGGCCAGGGAAGGGTACCCTCCTGGAAGAGCCTGGGGTGGGGCAGAGTTGGGGCTGAGGGCTCCCTGGCTCTGGGAAGGGTATGGGCTGATCCGCACAGATGACGCTGCAGCTCCTGAGCCTTGAGGGGGCCTCTGCCCATACAGGCCAGTCCAAACCAGAGTCATTTCCTGGGCTAGTTATGCAGTCCCCACAACATATAAATAAAAGTTTAGTTCTGTGTTTCCATAGATCTTCTACATGAAGGCTAGCTAAATATTAGTGGAGTAACAATAATTATTAATAACAATAATCGTCATAATAACAATAATTAATAGAATAATAATGCCTTGGGGTGTTGGGGGCAGGGTCCTTCATATGGCAGGGTGGGGACCTGGGGAGGGGCTCTATGTCTGGTAGAAGTGGTGGTAATGGTGGTGGTGTTCATGGTGGTGGTGGTGCTCGTGTCTCTGGACGGGCTGCCCGGCCTGGCTCTCGTACACCACCACGGCAGGCAGCTCCCGCAGGTGCTCCCGCCCCAGGACGGGGCCGCCTGGGGCCAGCGGTGCCTGCAGGCCCCGGCAGCCCTGCAGGCTTTCCTTGGCTCGGTGCTTGTGCTTCTTGTGCCCGAGGGGGGCCAGGGAGGGGAGGAGGGCTGGGCTGGCGGCCAGGTGGGCGGAGGGGGACACCGCAGGGACAGCGGGTCCCAGAGGGGGTTTGTTTCTTGCCCCTCTGGCCACGTGGCCCACACTCACGCTCTTGCCCTGGGCCTTGGGGGACCTCACAAAGTGCTTGCTCCCGTCCTGTGTGCCCCGGAGCCGTTGCTGGAGCTCCGAGACCTTGGCAATTGGGGTGTCAAGGAAGTGGAAGGATCCTGGGTCCGCGCCTTGGGGCTTTCGGTGTGGGACGTGGATGGCTTCCGGCTCATGGGAGCGAGATCGAGTGGGGTTGGAGGTGCGGGGGGGCAGTTCTGACTTCTGGGCCACAGAAGGGGAGCCTAGGAACCAATTCAACAGACATTTAATGAGCACCTACGGTTTGCTGGGGTCTTGTGCTGTACCCCAAACATCACCCCCCCCAAGTTCTCCAAGACTAAAAAATGCAAATATTCTTGATCAGAGCTACTCCCCAGTATCCTGACTGTCCCTCACTGCTTTGCAGGAAAACTCTGAAATGGAACTTTCCCATCTGCTAAGTGGGAAGAACCGGGTCTTTGGTAGGTCTTCAAAAATACTCTTCGAGAGAGAGACGAGAAAGAGAGATGGCAGCAGAGACCCTGAAAACTGTCTATGGTCACTGGGGCAAGAAAGAACTCTTACGCATATTGCTGAAAACATACAGAAGTAACTCACAGAGGAATTAAACCTATTAAAAGAAAGAGAGAAGGAAGTTGTGGGAGTGAAACTGAGCAAGAAGTCAACATATGTCAAGGCTGATAAAGACACAGCCACGTTGTACGCAGGGAAACCGAGGCTCTTGCTGGAAGAAACAGCCAAGAAGGGTCAAAGTAGCTGCCTAGGGAGGGGAACAGGGCTTGGGTGGGCAGGGATGGGGCACAGAACTGTTGTTTGTCATTGGGTGCCAAGCCCTTAGATACTATTTGATTTTGCTCAATTTTGTGCATATTAATTTTGAAACCGTTTTTAACTTCACTTTCTCTAAGAAGAGCCTTTGACCTGCCGTGTAATGCTGTCTTCCCCAGGCCTGGGGTAGCAGTGAACACTGCCCACGTGGCCCATCCAGCCACGCCCACCCTCATGGCTCAAGTCCCTTACCAGGCCCAAACTGGGAGGTGTAGTTTTCTATCCCGGCGAGATCTAAGTAGTGGTTTCTCCTCTCGATGTTCTCATCCACGCAATGGTGGTAGCAGCCAGACTGCTCCAGGCGGCTGTCACCCTGGAACCTATATGGCAGGGAAGGCACGTGAGTGGGGTGACATTGAACACCAGGTGGGGGCAGCTGCATAGGCTACTGGGAAGCCCCCAGAACAAACTCTGGACCCTTCATTCATTTCCTTCTTGGCCTTGGGAGAGAGTGGGGAGGAACAGTCCTCCCTGTGAACTGTGCCTCCGTTTCCTTTCCTGCTGATGGAGAGACAGACCACAGCCCATGGCCCGACTTCCTTGCAGTTTCTAGGAGGAGTGGACAGGGGTTGGCTTTGAACAAGTTCAAAGCAAATGTGAGAGGTTATTGGTCAACTTCTAAGAATCCCCCAGTGCCAGGCTTCAAGCCTGCTACAGGTAGGTGGCCTAAACCCCGGCCTGGTTCCCCAGGGGCTGCAGGCAGCAGAAGTCCCTCATACTGTTGGAATTGGGCCTGGCAGACCCCATGACCGGCCCTACAGCCCAGGATGGGCCTCTCAAGTGTGTGTGTGTGTGTGTGTGTGTGTGTGTGTGTGTGTGTGTGTGTG